GGCTATAGTCCCAGCTCAGAAGGCTGAGGTGGAAGGATCACTTGGCCCAGGGAGGCCGAGACTGCAGTGAGCTGTGATTGTGCCACTGCACTCCAGCTTTGGAGACACAACAAGACTCTGTCTTAAAAAAACAAACAAAAAAAGCAAAAGCCATAAAGCTTTTAAGAAGATACATGACTACATGCAAGAAAATCTTCATGAGTTGGAGTAGTGAATGACTCCTTTAATACAAAATATAGAACACTAGACAGAGGAAAGGTCTAAATAGTACATTAAAATTACAAATGTCCATGAAGAATGGAACAATAAGCCACAGAATGGAAGAGTATATATATATTCAACACATGTAAATTAACAAAGGACTAGTATGCTGAACATATGAAGAACTGAAATTAAGAAAAAGTAAAGGCAATTAGAACAATAAGCAAAAGACTAGAACAGGCATGTCATAAAATGCTCAACCTCATTTAAACTTAGGAATAAGCAAATTAACACCACACATATATCATTACACAGCAACAACTTGTTAAAACTAGACCAGACTGGGCAACATGGTGAGACCCTGTCTCTACAAAAAATACAAAAATTAGCCAAGTGTGGTGGCACGTGCCTGTAGTCCCAGGTACTTGGGAGGCTGAGGCAGGAGGACTGCTTGAGCCTGGGAGGCTAAGGCTGCAGTGAGTCATGTTTGTACCACTGCTCTCCAGCCTGGACAACAAAGTGAGGCCCTGTCCCAAAGGAAAAAAAAAAACCACAATAAAAACAAAAACAACAACTTATACTGACCACACCAACTGAGGTGAACATCTGGAATACTAGAAACACATTCTGTAGCTATGAACATTCTTATACTTTAGATCATTCCAAACTGTTTTTCCAGTAACTGTACACTTTTCTCCTATGGAAATACTAATTGGTACAATCACTTTAGAAAAAGTTTGCCATTATTCTATCCTAATACCCAGCTATTCCTCTTCTGGATATATACCTTAGACTCTAGGACCTAGCGAAACAAAATGAACATGTACAAGAATGTTCTTAGAAGAATTTTATAATAGCATCAAACTGTACACAATCCAAATATCAATCAGCGGCAGAATAGTGGGATGTTCATAAATACCATCCCATATAAAAATTAAAATTAATGAATTCAATATGCACAAAAGCATGGCTATAAAGAAAAATCAACACATGAAAAATACAGCAAAAATCATATAAAGTTCATTGATAAAAACTATATCTGTTTAAAATACATAAACTAAATGATATTATTTGCATAAATAGCTGAGAAAACTTTTAAAAATACCAAGGAAAGGATTATCACCAAAGTCTATTTTGTGATTATTTCTGGGAGAAGGAAGTGAGTTGTGGCTGGGAGACTGCCTACATAAGTTTTTAAGGGTCTATAAATGATCTTTCTACAATTGAGTTGTGGTTAAGTGAATGTTAACTTTACAACTGCACATTAAACTGTTCATATTTTATGTACTTTTATATAATTATGCTTAACAACCACACACTGTACACACTACACACACACACACAAACAAGCATAGGTTGATTTTTCTATCAAAATTTGAACTGTTATCTTCAGGTAGTAAATTCTACCCATTTTTATTTTTAATAATAGGAGTAAATACCTTCCGACAACAATATAATGAATATTACAGGAAAATTAAGGCAACTTATATTTACAGAATGCCTTTCTGTGTAAAACAGGACACTATACTCTTCCTACACATTAAAGCATTAAAGATTAACTCTAAAAGGTACTTGTTATCAGTCTCTTTACTGAGGCAATTGCCAGTGTTCAGATAAATGTCAGAGCTAATCCAAATCCGAAACTTGAAATTTTCCCACCATTCTATACAAATTCCCAGTGCAGTTTACTATCCATCTATTCATCTTCCCCATACAATATGCTGTGGCATCTTCCTCATGGGATGGTCAATTAATTTATTCATTTATTCAACATTCAGTCATTCAGTCAACAAATACTTCTTTAGTACCTATTATATTCCAGGTTCTGTTTTTGTATAAGTTATACAAGGATGAAAAGGAATGGCAAAATCTAAGCTTACATTTTGGTTGGGGAGGCAGGCAATTAATAATTTCAGACAGTGATCAATTCTATAAAGGAAATAGAATAAAGTGACAATGGCTCAGTGGTAGAAACACTGGGGCTGAGATGTGAATACTCAGTCAGCCGTGCAAACTACTGAAATGGGTTCCACACACAGGGACCACTAAGCATCAAGGCCCTGGAGGGAAATGTGCCTTAGCAGACAGAAGGCAGGCAACTCTGCCTAGAATCCTATGTGCAAAAAGGACAGAGGGTGAATTATGGAGGGCCAGGTTAAGTCATAGCAGAAAGTTTAGATTCTAGCCTAGATGCAATAAGAAGCTATTTTAAGTTTTTAAGAAAAAGAGGGCCACAGGAAAATTTATATTAAAAAAAATTTTTAGGGGTTATAAAAAGAAAAGATTCCTTCAGAAGAAGGGAGTTGGCAATGGCAAAAGTGAAAGGGTAAAGACTAGCTTTTATCACAGAAATCCAGGGAGGAGATTAAGGAGATTAAACAGGAGTGGCCAACAATGAAAACAGACATAGACAGCTTCCAGATATATGCTGAGGATAGATCAGATCAACTGAGTGCTGATTTCTTTGTTGAACAGCTATTTATTCTATACTGTAATATAGGCACATTTTTATTATCAGGCACATTTCTAGGTGCTGGGTATACGGAACTGAATAGGAAGGAAAGGGTCCCTGATCTCAAGGAGTTTATATATTAGGAGCTTATATATTACATATTCCAATGGGAGAAGCAGAAATTTAATAAACACAAATATCCTATGTCAGGTAAGAAGTATTATGATGAAAAACTAAAGGAAAAGGAGAGACAGAGGCGGTTATTATTTTAGATAAGTCAGGGAAAGACTTTGCAGAGGAAGTGACATTTAAGCAGATACCTAAAGTGAAGCACAAGCCACACAAATATTTGGAAGTAAAGTACTATAGGTACAGGGAACTGCAAGTGAAAAGACCCTAAGGAGGGAATGTGCTTATCTTCTTGTGAGAAGAGCAAAGCCAATGTGGCTAGAGCAGAATGAATAAGGAGTGGAGTGGCACATGAAGCCAAAATAGTGGCCAGGAGACAGATCACATAAAGCTGTATAGCTTATACACCGCAACAGATCACATAAAGCCATATAGCTTATACACTGAGACAGATCACACAAAGCCGTATAGCTTATACACCGAGTTTTGAATTTTATTTTAAGTGTGATAAAAAGCCATGTGAATTGAGAACAGGACAAAGGATATCTGATTGACATTTTAAAAGGATCATTCTGCTTTTCTGGAATATAAACTGCTGAGGGATAAGTAATATAAACAGAGAGATGACAGTGCCTTCAACTGAAGTGGTACTAGCAGAGGTGTGAAGTGGGACATATTTTGAATGTATTTGTTACATTGAATAGATTCTGCTGGACTGAATGTAGAAAATGGGGGGAAAAATGAAGGATGACCTAGGGTTTTGGTTTAAGGAACTGAGGAGCTGAAGTAACATTTCTGAGAAGGAGAAAACTAGGAGAGGAACAGGTTGGAGAACAGGAATCAAAAACTGTTTTTGGTCACGAGATGCCTACTAGACATTCAAGTGGAAATGTAAAGTAAATAAAAGGCTAGAGCTCACAGAAGAGGTTCAAGTCAGTGACTTGAACTGTTTTTGAAAGATACTGACTCAGATAATTCTCAAGAACAAAATTTCTCCCATATTTGAGAATTTATACTGACTCAATTCTTAGGCATACCCTAAATAGTTCAAATAAATAAAACAGGTTCAAATTTATTCTTCCTAAGGGTATACTCCAGTAACACAATTTGCCAGTATAGATTAATATGTGATAAACTCTAATCATAACATTCTACATGTTCTTGGCTTCAGATTAAAATAACTGATTAAGTTTATAATGTTTTACAATTTTAGAAATGTTTACTCATCCAAGCTGGAGTGCAGTGGTGCAATCATAGCTCACTACAGCCTCAAATTTCTAGGCTCATGTGATCCTCCTTTCTCAGCCTCCTAAGTAGCTGGGACTACAGGCAGGGTCCAAGGCTTCAACCTAATTATACCCCAAAGTTAATACAGATTTTATTAGAAAAACAAAGTTTTTGTAAGTCTAATAGGTAAAGGAACAAAGAATCAGATCTATTTTTCTTACAGCTTCCTTACTCTTCCCTTCCCTCTTTTATTCTTTATCACCTAAAAGCTTGGTCACTAGTAAGTTCAAAAGGTTAGCTAAAATATGGCTATGAAAGTAGAAAATACAGAAAAATATTTAAGATGTTCAACAACAATTTTTAGAGTAAGGTTAGTTAAACACTAGAGTTTATGCTCAACTTCTCCTTGAAAGGCCGAGTATTTATTTTACTAACTACACTGGAAATAATGCCTACTTGCAATTTTAATTAATCATTATAATTCAAAAACAGGTTTATATAACTGGCCAGGCCCTTTTGAAAATATAAGTACAAATCTTGGGGATATGTTTTGAAGCTGGCTTCGCCTCACAGACTGATAAATCTGTCCAAAAGTCACAAGAATTATGTCTTTATTGGTTCATCTTATAATTAAATCAACATGGAAGAAATATGTACTTTTTGGATTAAACAAAATGTTTTGATAAAAATGGGATATGTGTGTACAAAAGCTGGAAAACTCATGTCCCCTGAAACTTGGTTTCCACAAGATGAGTTTCAAATTCAGATACTAAACACACATGAATAATCAAATGAATTCTATTCATCCTTTCCCCAAAGTTGCGCTTACAATTAAGATATAGGTATTATTTGTATGCAGAACAAACAAAATAAATTGGAAGATGTTTGGCTAAAGAGGGAAGTGAACACTCAGGAACTACTGTTTGCAGTTTGCAGAATAGGATAATCTTCTCTAGGAAGAATAATGTCAACATAGCAGCACTATATTCACCAGGATTCCCCAGAGCCAATGGTCCCATCATGTGGCAGGAAGCCAAACCTTCTGGCTGCTCACAATATCAATCAGCTTCCCTTTAATCTTCAGGAAGTGTCTCTTGAACTCCAATCCATCACCCTATATTAGAAATAATATTAAAAAATAATGTCAAAACAAAAACAAAAACAAGATTATGCCCTAAAATCAATCTCTTTTTAGTGGTAACAAGAGACAAACATCCTTAGATATGTCTAGCTACAATTTTCTTTTAGGCCTGTTTAGGAAGAACAAATATCCTGGCAGAGAAAATTGTTACACAAATAATTCTGATGTGGTTTCATGTCCATCACTGTTCCTACTGCACTGAGCTCAGACAGCAGATAAAGGTGGCATCCTATCTGTTTCAGGTGTCGGTATATCTGGACCTAAGTCATTACAATCCATAGGCAGTGAGGGTTTGGAAACTAACAATAAGCTATACAACTAAACTGAAGTCTTGTTGTCATAACACTATTAAACAAAACCAGCAGCTTTAGTTATGAGAAGAATTTCATTATACTATGACCTTAATTTAATTCCATAGCAAGCATCTGAAAAACAGTATTGCAGCAAATCTCTAATACAAAGAGTACTGCAGCAAATGCTCCAACATAGCAGCTACTCCTCCAACCCTCTTTAGAGTCACACACAATCTCTCAGAAAATAGAGAAAAATGTTATTTTGGTTTTATATATCAAGGGCTGTAAAACTATAATCTTAGAATCAATAATTTCTAAAGAAATCATCAGAAATATGAACAAAAATCTATGCATAAAATATCAATCACAGAATTATTGTAACAGGTAAAGGTTCATTAAATTATAATGAAATATTTGCAACAAATCATAATCTTTATTAAAAGACAAATTAAGAAAAATATTAAAATGCTTCAAAATATTAATGGTGATCACTGAAAATTTAGAATTATTTTTATTTTCTCATTTTTTGCTTGTCTACATTTTTCACAAAAGCAGAAACTTTTTTTGAAACAGAGTCTCACATTGTCACCCAGGCTGGAGTGCAATGGCACTATTTCAGCTCACTGCAACCTCTGCCTCCTGGGTTCAAGTGATTCTCCTGCCTCAGCCTCCTGAGTAGCTGGGATTATAGGAGCCCGCCACCATGCCCAGCTAATTTTTTGGTTTTTATTGTAAAGATGGGGTTTCACTATGTTGGGCAGGCTGGTCTCAAACTCCTGACCTTGAGATCTGCCCGCCTTGGACTCCCAAAGTGCTGGGATTACAGGCGTGAGCCACCACGTCCAACAAAAACTTTTATAACAAGGAAAACGTCATTTGAAAAAAACAATGTTTGGGAAAAACACATAACAAAAACACATGCTATAATACTAAATGAAAAAAGCAAGTAACCTTCTATTTACAAATGTCACATATATACAAACATGATGCCATTAAAAAAATTCACATAGAAATATTTCCACAGAAAAAATACAATAAAACATAAAAATACCTTAGAAAGCCGGAAGTCAACCAATATTTTATCATCCATTTCTAACAAATTCACTTTGAAAATGAGTTTATTATTTCTCCTATCAGTTGTTGATACAGTAACCTAAGGCAACAAAAATAAGGTTAAGCCACATGGGTGAGTAGATAATAAACTAGTAAACCCACCATGAAGAACAGAATGGAAGTTCCTCAAAAAAACTACAAATAAAACTACCTATATGTTCCAGCAATCCCACTAATGAGATGTCATCCAAAGGAAAGGAAATTATATGGAAGAGACATTTGCATCCCTACAGCATTATTCACAATAGCCAAGATATGGAATCAACCTAGATATCCAACAAGAGATGAGAGTAGGCCAGGCACTGTGGTTCATACCTATAATCCAGCACTTTGGGAGGTCAAAGCAGGAGGATTGCTTGAGCCCAGGAGTTCAAGACCAAGCTGGGCAACATATCAATACCTCATCTCTACTAAAATTCCCAAAAAATTAGCAGGCATGGTGGTGCATGCCTGTAGGACCAGCTACTCAGCGGGGCTGAGGCAGAAGGGTCACTTGAGCCCAGGAGGTTGAAGCTGCAGTGAGCTATGATTGTGCCAGTGTGCTCCAGCATGGTTGACAGAGTAAGACCCTGTCTCAAAAAAACAAAACAAAAAGCCAAGCAAACAAATGAGGATAATATGATAAATATATACACAATGAAATACTACTCAGTCATATAAAGGAATGAAATCCTGTCATTTGCAGCAATATGGGTGGAAATGGAGGACATTATGTTAAGTGAAATAAGCCAGGAACAGAAAATTAAACATCGCATGTTCTCACTCATATGTAGAAACAAAAAAACAGTTAATTTCATAGAAGTAGAAAGCAGAACAGAGGATACTAGAGTCTAGGAAGGGGAGAGGGGAGGGAAAGATAGAGATTCATGAAATAATATAAAATTACAGCTAGATAGGAGTAAGTTCTACACCACTGTAGGATAACTATCCTTAACAATAATAGAGTTTCAAACAGCTAGAAGGATACTGAACATTCCCATCACAAAGAAATGACCAATGTTTGAGATTACTAATACGCTAGTTATCCTGATCTGATCACTATACATTATATGAATCAAAACATCACTATATACCTCATGAATATGTACAATTGTATCAATTAAAAAAAACTTGCTGGCTACTTCCATAACAGGAGTAATATTAAGTATGCTGATAATCTCACTCATTCCAGAGCCTCTCTTCTCCCAGTGGGTATGTATGTCCCCAACCCAATCCATCAACAGGGGTGCAGCTCCTAGGGACTGAGTGTATATGAACTCATAGCAACAAAACTTACTGTACTGTACCAATATACCACTGAAAGAAGAAACAATCAAAGATGAAAATAAAATGGGAGGAAAAACAAGATTATTAAAACGTTAGAAAGAAAAAGGCCTGACTTGTGGCTGAAAAGCTAGAGCAGCAATTAGAAGACGGCAAAGGTCTTGAGAGGCCTTGCAACTTCCACTTTCAGTCTTTTAGAACGTTCCTGTGGCATGTAAAGACGCTCAGCCTAGCTGAATGATGCGGAAAGAAAGGCTCAGCTAACAGCCAGTATCAAGACTCCAAACATGGGAGTAAGGATGTTTTAGACCACCAGCCACAGTAAAGACATCAAATGACTATAGCTGGATGAATAAGCCCGATCAAGATCAGCAGATCTGCCTGAAAAACACAGCCCAAATTAAAAAAGTATTTGTAATAATTCTTACTTCAAGAAACTATGAAAACACACAACTATACCATGACTGTGCAGCACTGAAATAACATACTATGTTCTGGGAAAATTACACAAGATAATCAACTCAACACATCTGAATTAAGCTCTTAAACTTCAAAGACAAAAAAAAAAAAAATACTTCAAAGAACTGAGAGTGAGTGAATCAAGGAGTGATGTCAATGAAAATGGCAGAGAAAAGAACTCCAGAAGTCCATTACTCCACAAAAGCAATTTTAAAAACCTGCCAAAACCTGTCAGAATCAACTTTTTCAGAACATTGTAAACTAACTAAAAGCTTGCAGCAACTTATTCAAAACAAGTGAAACTCAGTAAGAACAGTGAGCTTTCTGGTATTGTAACTTACCCTGTTCCCATCCCCTGCTCCTCACTCAGTAGCAGCCTTGAAAATAACGGTCCATATTTCAGGTATAGGTCCAGGTAGGAGCAGAATAAACCTCATTTACAAACTATCTTAAACCGATCTGACCCTCTAAAATGACCTGATCAAAAGGCTTGTCCTGGCCAGGTGCAGTGGCTCATGCCTGTAATCCCAACACGTGGGGAGGCCGAGGCAGGTGGATCACCTGAGGTCAGGAGTTCGGAACAGCCTGACCAACATGGTGAAACCCTGTCTCTACTAAAAATACAAAAATTAGCAGGGTGTGGTGGCAGGTGCCTTTAATCCCAGCTACTTGGGAGGCTGAGGCAGGAGAATCGCTTAAACCTGGGAGGCAGAGGTTGCAGTGAGCTGAGATCACACCATTGCACTCCAGACTGGGAAACAGAGTGAGACTCCATCTCAAGAAAAAAAGGCTTGTCTTTATTTCGCCTTTGTAACTGTAACTCACCTTGCGCTAAGGCTGCTCCTGGGTAGCATTTGTGGAAAACACTTACAGGAAAATGCTTTAGTCTCTGTTGCCTGAAGCAATGATAGCAACTGGGGCAAACAGACTACCCAAGACGTTTGGAAGAAGAGGTTAGGGAGTGAGATGTTTCTGAGCAATAGGACTCTGAAAAGGTCCAACATATTCCTGGGAATGTAAAAAGACACACCCATGACCAGGGCAGTACACGTGCTTAGGGAAGAGCTGAGAAGGCCCCGAAGCTCTACATGTGCCCTAACTTTGCATTTTGCACAGGCAGATAGTGAAGGCTGAAGCAACGTTGTAAACTTCTCGGTTGAGTATTGCAGGTGTGTCCCCAGCACAAATACAGAACCCCTCTGCAGATTTTTTTGTTTTTGGTACACAGAATTTAAGGAAATCTCTGTCCAATCATTAGCTGACCACTACAACTAATGGGACAGAAACTGCACAGTCATGCATGACAAACAATACCAACTTTAAAAAATTACATCAGAAAAATCACTAGGGCCAGGTGCGGTGGCTCCCACCTGTAATCCCAGCACTTTGGAGGCTGAGGCGGGTGGCACCTGAGGTTGGGAGTTCGAGACCAGCCTGGCCAACATGATGAAACCCCACCTCTAATAAAAATACAAACAATTAGTCGGGCATGGTGGTAGGCGCCTGTAATCCCAGCTACTTGGAAGGCTGAGGCAGGAGACTCGCTTGAACCCACGAGGTGGAGGTTGCAGTGAGCCAAGATCACACCATTGCACTCCAGCCTGGGCAACAAGAGTGAAGCTCCATCTCAAAAAAAAAAGAAAAAGAAAAAAATCACTAAAAAAAACAACTACATCAAGCAATAACAAACACTGGCAAGAGGGGAAACTCTGACTTCTAGAGTTGCCACATATTGCCACAATATGTCCAGTTTTCAATAAAAAATTACAAAGCATGTAAGGAAACAAAGTATGGCCCATATAAAGGAAAAAGAGCAACCAAAACTGTCCCTGAGGAACATAAAGAAAGAATAAAGAAAAGTGAACAGAGTCTAAGAACTGTGGTACGACAAGTATCCCAACAATATACATAATGAGTCCAAGAGGGAGAGGAGAGTTAGGTACAAAAAAAAATCTGAAGAAATAATGGCCAAAAACTTCCCAAGTGTGGTTAAAAACATTAATTTACATATCCGAGAAGTTCAATGAACTCCAAATAGAATGAACAAAGAAATTCACACCAAGATACATCATAGTCAAACTGTGGTCAACAGAGAAACACAAAAGCAGCAAGAGAGCAGCAATGTCTCACATAAAAGGGATCCTCAGTAAGATTAACAGCTGATTTCTCATCAGAAACCACAAAGGCTAGAAGGCAGTAGTGGCATAATCAAAGTGCTGAAAGACAAAAGTTATTAAGAATTCTATATCCAGCAAAACTACCTGTCCAAAAAGTGGAAGATAAATTAAGGCACTTTAAACTGATAGGAATAGATACTACATTTGATCTTAGCCAAAAGGCTGAGAAACGATTTTTTTTTTGAGACAGTCTTGCTCTGTCACCCAGGCTGGATAGCAGTTGTGCAATCAGATCACGTTCACTGCAGCCTCAATCTCCCATGGCTCAGGCTATCCTTCCACCTAAAGCCTCCCCAGTAGCAGGGGTTACAGGCGCACACCACAACGCCCTACTAATTTTTTAAATATTTTCAGTAGGCATGGGGTTTCACCATGTTGGTCAGGCTGGTCTCAAACTCCCGGCCTCAAGTGATCTGCCCGCCTCAGCTTCCTAAAGTGCTGTAATTATAGGTGTGAGCCATGACATCTGGCTAAGGTACTTTAGATTGAAAGACACAAATAGGCTAAAAGGAAAAGGGAAAAAAAAATAGAGCATGGAAACAATAACCAAAAGAGAGCTGGTAGCTCGGTATGGTGGTATATGCCTGCAGTCCCACCTACTTGCGAGCCCAAGGCAGGAGGGTCACTTGAGCCCAGGAGTTTGAGGCTGCATTGCACTATGATCGTACTGCAAGTAGCCACTACACTCCAGCCTAGGCAACATAGTGAGACTCCATCTAAAAAAAGGAAAATACACAAGATAGCTAGTGAGCTGATATGGATATACTAACATTAGACAAAATAAACAGACTGATGAAAACTGTCAATTTAGCTGGGCATGGTGGTGCACACCTATAGGATCCACTACTCAGGAGGATCACTTGAGCCCAGAAGGTCAAATCCAGCCTGGTCAACATAGAGAGACTGCATCTCTACAAAAACATTTTTAAAAAGTTAGCTGGTTATGGTAGTGCACACCTGTAGTCCCAGTTACTTAAGAGGCTGAGGTGAGAGGATCACTTGGGCACAAGAGGTCAAGGTATTAATATATTATATTAATAAAGGGGAAAAAATCCACATGATTATCTCAATAGATGGAGAAAACATTTGACAAAATCCAATACTCTTTATCATAAAAACAAAAACCCCACAGCTAACATCATACTTAATGCTGAAAGACTCAAAACTTACTCCTAAGATCAAGAACAAGACAAAGATGTCCACTCTATTTCTGTTCAATATAATGTTGGGAGTCCTAGCCAAGGCAACTAAACAAAAAGAACTAAAACGCATCTGGGTTTAAAAAAAAAAAAAGTAAAACAATTTCCTGTATCTCTATTGATAAACAATGTAATCTTTTTTTTTTTGAGATGGAGTCTCACATTATCGTCCCAGCTGGAGTGCAGTGGTACGATCTTGGCTCACTACAACCTCTGCCTCCCAGGTTCAAGCGATTCTCCTACCTCAGCCTCCCGAGTAGCTGGGATTACCAGCACCTGCCACCACGCCCAGCTAATTTTTTGTATTTTTAGTACAGATGGGCTTTCACTGTGTTGGCCAGGCTGGTCTCAAATGCTTGACCTCGTGATCCACCTGCATTGGCCTCTCAAAGTGCTGGGAATGCAGGCGTGAGCCATCACGCCCGGCCAAATAATGTAATCTTAATATATAAAAAAACCTAAAGAATTGGTCAAAAAAACTACTGGAGTTAATGAATTCAGCAAATTTTCAGGATACAAGATCAATACACAAAATTCATTTGCATATATACTATCAATGAACAATTTGAAAATAAAATTTAAAAATTCCATTTACATCAGCATCAGGATTTAAAAAATAAATAAATAAATAAACAGGATTACATTTAACCTAGGAAGTGCGAGACTTAAACATTGAAAACTACTAAATATTCTTGAAAGAAATTAAAGACCATAAAAAAATGGAAAAAAAGGCCCCATGTTATTGGATTGGAAGAGTTACTATTACAGGTTTAGCATCCTTAATCTAAAATCTGAAATTCAAAATGTTCCAAACTCCAAAACTTTTCGGGTGCTGGCATGATGCCACAAATTGAAAATTTCATACCTGATAAGTTTGCTTTCTGATAGTTCAATGTACAAACTTTGTTTCATGCACAAAATTATTTAAAACATTGTATAAAATTACCTTCAGGTTATCTGTATAAGGTATATATGAACCACAAAAATTATTCATGTTTCAACTTAAGTCTCATCTGTAAGTTATCTCAATATGTATATGCAAATATTCCAAAATCCAAACAAATGTAAATCCACAAAACTTTTGGTCCCGAGCACCTCGAATAAGGAATACTCAATCTGTACTAAAATGGAAATACTCCCCGGGTTAATCTACAGATTCAGTGTAATCTCTTTTAAAATTCCAAATTTTTTTCTTGCAGAAATAAGATAATCCTAAAAGACAGAAAAACAAGGGGCCACAAATAACCAAAATACCTTGAAAAAAAGAACAAACTTGGACAACTCATACTTTCTAATGTCAAAACTCACTACAAAGCTACAGTAATCAAAATAGTGTTGTAGTGGCATAGCATAAACATATAGATCCATGAAATAAAGAATTGAGTCCATGGGGGAAGAAAAAGAAAATTAAAAAAAAAAAAAGAATTGAGAGTCCAGAAATAAACCCATACATCTATGACTGATTTGTTTTCAGCAAAGGTGCCAAGATCATCTCATAGGAAAAGATGTCTTCAACAAATGGTGCCGGGAAAACTGAATATTCACATACAAACATTTGCATTTGGACCCTACCTCATACTATACACAAATATTAACTCAAAATGGACAAAGACCTAAATGTAAAAGCTAAACTTTAAGGCTGTAGTCCCAGCTACTCAGGAGGCTGGGACTCCTAAAAGAAAGCATAAAGTATAAATCTTTACAATTTTATATTAGGCAACAGTTTCTTAAATTTGGCACTAAAAGCACAGGCAACAAAAGAGAAATTATAGATCCACTGGAATTCATCAAAATCTAAAACTTGTGTACATCAAACAACACTAACAAGAAAACGAAAAGAATGGGAGATTTCTCCCACAGAATGGGGTATTTGCAAATCAGGTATCCGACAAGGTTCTAGTGTTCAGAATGTACAAAGAACTCTAACAACTCAACAATAAAAACAATCCAGTTAAAATATGGACAAAAGATCCAGATACTGTTATAAAGAAATGGCCAATAAGCATGTAAGAATATGCTCAAGATCATTAGTCTTTAGAGAAAGGAAAATCAAAAGCAAAATGAGATAATATTTCATACACACTAGGATAGCTACAGCAAAAAGGGGAGGCAATAAGTGTTGGCAAGGATGTAGAGAAATTGGAACTCTCTTACATTACTGATGGAAATGTAAAATGGTACAGATGCTTTGGAAAAATCATTTCGCAGTTTCTCAAAAAGTTAAATGAAGAGTTACCATATGCTCCAGCAATTCTACTCTTCCATATATATCTAAGAAATTAAAAACATATGGTCACACAAAAACTGGTACAAGATTGTTCATAGCAGTATTATTCATAAAGACCAAAAAGTAGAAACAACTCAAATGTCCATCAATGGATGAATGGATAAACAAAATGCAGTACATACACACAATGGAATATTATTCAGTCATAAAAAGGAATAAAGTACTGATAAATGCTATGAACCTTGAAAACATTATGCTAAATGAAAGCAGACAGACCCAAAGGACTACATGTTATATGATTCCATTTGTATAGAATGTCCAAAGAGGCAATCCCTGAAGACAGAAAGTAGATTCGAAGTTGCCCGGGAATGGAGGAAGGAAGGAATAAGGAGTGACTGCTAGGTGGTACAGAGGTTTTGTTTTTTTTCCCCTGTGGTGATGCAACGTTCTGGAATTAGGGGTGATGGCTGCATAACCTTGTGAATATACTAAAAAGCACTGCATTTTACATTTTTAAATGGTTAAAGTGATGATTCTTACGTTAAGAAAATTTTATCTCTGAGTCGACCTGAGAAAAAGTGAATCACTTATGTGAGTAAGAAGACTATCAGGCTGACCTCAGATTTCTACACAGTAACAGTTCCCCCTAACTTTTAATTTTGAAAACTCAAATCTACAGAAAAACTGAAAGAAGAATACAATAAATAACCATATACTCTTCATTGGCCTTATCTACTAGATATGTGGGTGTTTATTTGCCTTTATGTAATTGTTTGCCCTTTCTTTTTTTTTTATTTTAAGCTGAAAGAAGATATCACTTCACTTCAACTTTGCTTCCACATGTTTCTCCTTGGAACAAGGGCATTCTGCTACAAACCACAGTATGATCACACCCAAGAAATCTGATGCTGATACAAAAACATTACCTAATATACAGTCCATATTCAAATTTCCCCAATTGTTCCAGTAATGTCCGTGGTAGTTTTTAAAATTTTTTCCAAATATATGATCTAGTGAAAGACCATGCACTGCACTTAGCTATCAGGCCTCTTTAGTCTCCTTCAATATAAAACAGCTCCCTATTTGTTTTTCATTGACATTAACATTTTTTTGAAAAGCCTTAAACACAGTTTAGAATACCAATGTTATAACTATGTTCTAATAATATAAACAATAAAAATTGACGGGTGCAATCAAGGGAGATGCAAGAAAGTGTGGGATTGCTAATGTGTTCGTCTTTCATGGTAGGCAGTCAACCATTATTGTCTACAGTTTAAGTATATACAGTTTTTAAGAAAATAATGATTCCAGCTCCCTAACATTTTTAATAACAATTAAAAGGTCTTTCAAGAAATATTATTTTAGGCCAGGCACAGTGGCTAAAAATAAAAAAAAAATAATAATAAACAAAACTTTAAAAAATATATTATTTCTTAAGGTAGAGAACATTTAGTTTCTTTTTCAAATTAACTAATTACTTTGTATTTTTATGTTTGTTTGGTTTTTTTGAGACAGAGTCTCACTCTGTCACCCAGGCGGGAGTACACTGGCAGGATCTCGGCTCACTGCAACTTTCGTCTTCCAGGTTCAAGCAATTCACCTGCCTCAGTCTCCCGAGAAGCTGGGATTACAGGCATGCACCACTATGCTGGCTAATTTTTGTATTTTTAGTAGAGACAGGGTTTCACCATGTTGGCCAGGCTGGTCTCGAACTCCTGACCTCAGGTGATCCGCCCACCCTGGCCTCCCAAAGAGCTGGGATTACAGGTGTGAGCCACCGCCTGTATTTAAAAAATATACTAATGATAGCTTTTACTCAAATATTTCAATTTTTCTTCAGGAAAAGGTATAATGAAAATCAATGAAACACACCTGATTCATACAACTCTTCTTCCATTGATAGCCCAACTTCTCACAAGTCTCTTTCAGGCATTGATAAGATTTGTCTGCATCCAATTTGGTAAAGAATCGTGTCATTCTTTTGACCAACCGCTGCCAGGGGTTCTACATGTCAAACAGAAGACAACTGAATAAATCCATTATGACTAAAGACAGTAATATCATAGCTATTTAGTATGACTTAAAATTCTTTTGCATGAAGGCCTCCCTCTTCTCTTTCTTCCTTGACAAAAAAATACAGGTGATTTAAAAGTTATATATCTAAGATTTACACATTAAAAAAGGACTTTAAGACAATAAAAAATAAAGAGCTGCCATTATTTATTAAAAAAATGAAATTCCCTCACCTGTGAGGATCCTGGGGTTCCAAGTAACTGACTATTCAGAAGCATATGATCAGGACATGTGGGCTGGGAAAAGCTGATCCCTTGTACCAATTTATCAATGTATGAGGGACTGGTATCCCATAAGGAAAGACCTGTGCGTGGTTCTGGCTGAGAACTGGAGTACTTCACATTTTCTTCACTAAGGCATTAAGACAGAAGGAAACATACATAAAATAAAATCTATCAGGCCTTTCTTATATCACACAAAAGTTCTCATGCTTACAGTATTATGTTCATTAATGTCGAATATTATGAAAAAACACATACATGTATTATTCTTCATGGGGGATACTACAATAAAAAACTACTTAATCTTTATCAGTCTTACCTACAAGCACTGTTTACTGGAGAGAAGTCCAAATTGGATTGAATGTGCTTAGAGAATCCACTGGGAGACTCTGACACACCACCTGAAGTGACTCGGGGCCTTTTTGCCCCTAAAAAAGAAAACAAATACAAATGCTTTCAAGTCTTCTACGCAAATATGTTTTTAAATTAACTCAACTGGCAACTTGAAGAAGTAAAACTACGTCTAAATCTATTTATTTAACACAGAATTTTTATAAGATATAAAACAAAGCCTTCCTATATGATTTTATAAAAAATGTGGCCAACTTCTAAAATTACTAAGACTCATTTGTCCAATTAGGTATTTTACAATACCTAAGTATGACCTGTAGGCATGTTCAAAGTGTGGAGTATGCGCAGACCACAATCTTTTTTTTTGTTGAGATAGAGTCTTGCTCTGTTGCCCAGGCTGGAGTGCAATGGAGCGATCTCGGCTCACTGCAAGCTCCATCTCCCAGGTTCATATCATTCTCCTCCCTCAGCCTCCTGAGTAGCTGGGACTACAGGCGCCCGCCACCACATCCAGCGTTTTTTGGTTTTTTTTTTTTTGTATTTTTAGGAGAGATGGGGTTTCACTGTGTTAGCCAGGACGGTCTTGATCTCCTGACCTCGTGATCCACGCGCCTCAGCCTCCCAAAGTACTGGGATTACAGGTGTGAGCCACCGTGCCTGGCCCAGGTCACAATCTTAATGGCATCTTTTGTGGGTAACAGAACAATGTTCTGTGAAGATGACAGACCTGGCTAAAGGACTAGAACTTTTTAAAATAAAAAATAATTTATGATAATAGCAATAAACATTATGAATCTGTTCTAGCCAAAACTCTTTGATTCCCTGGAAAAGCTTTACAAAGAAGAATATTATATGGAAAATGACACCACTGTAAATTTATGGTTACAATCCCTAGCCAAACCTCAATATTGCCAGATAATTCTGTTTCTCTAGTTTCTTTTCCTTTTCTCTACAAGGATCATTTCAAAACTACACTTTTCTGTAATTCCCAAGACTACCATTCAGTACCTACACTACCACCTTCCATTTCAGAGAGAAAGCTATTAGACAGAAACTACATCAACTTATCCCTATCAAATCGAAGTTACTTGTATTACTATACATCGTTTCATCCCTTCCATTCTCCTATCGAATGTTCATCTCTCTACTTGTGCTTTGGAGTCTATACCCTTCTACCTCCTCAGGGATCTTGATCCTGTTACTTATTCCCTTTCTCTTAGACTGTCAGCCTCTTCCTCTCTACAGGATCTATACCCAAACCATTTAAACAGGCTTAAGTTTCTTTTTTTTTAAAACATGCTTAAGGTTTTTTTTTTAAACCTGCTTTTTATTTATTAATCCATCCATTCAAATATTTTATTAGGTCTACTCTGTGCCAGGCATTATTCTAGGTATTAGGTATTCAGCAGTGAGCAAAATAGAAAAAAATCCTTGATCTCTTAAATCTTACATTCTACTGAGGAGAGACAAAATAACGTAAAATAAATTCAAATAAAGTTAAAGATAAGCTAAATGATGGTAAGTACAATGGAGGAAAATAAAATGAAGAAATGTGTTGGATTGCATATGTCCACAAGATAGTGAAAATTTTAAAAATTTAAGAAAAGTGTTAGAGGGAAGGGGATATCATTTTAAATAGCATGGCCAGGAAAGGCTTATTGGAAAGATGACATTGAAGTCAATATCCGAAGAAAGTGAGAGAATAAGACATGCAAATAAGTCCCGTTGGAAAAAGCATTTTCAGGCATAGGGAACAGTCGTTACAGAAACAGTGAGGTAGAAGTATGCCTGGAGCACTTGGAGAACAATGAGAAGACTGATATAGGTATGACCAAGGGGGAGCAAAGCAGAATTGAGGTCAGAGAAGTAATGTAAGGGACAAAACTGTGTAAGAACTCACAGGTCATCAACTGACTTTAGCTTACACTCTGGGTGAGAACTAAAGCATTGGAGGTTTTGGGTAGAACGGTGACATATTCTAATTTATTTTTAAATCAGAACACTCTGGAAAGATATCATAGTAGTTTGGAATCATAGGGTTGCCGTGAAGGTGAAAAAAGGTAATCAGATTCTAGAATTTTAGAGGTTAACAGAATTACCTGGTGGACTGGATGTGAAGTAAAAGAGAATGAGAAAAACGAAGTATGATTCCAAGGTTTCTGATCTGCATAACAAGAATAATGCAGTTGCCATTAACCAACAAGGGAAAGACTTTGAAGAGGAATGGATTTGAAAAGAAAAGAACAGTAACTCAGTTTGAAATTCATCAAGTTTGAGATGCCTCTTAACGTTCAAGTGAAAGTTCAGAAGGCAGTTAAGACATATAAGTTTGGCCGGCGCGGTGGCTCAAGCCTGTAATCCCAGCACTTTGGGAGGCCGAGACGAGTGGATCGCGAGGTCAGGAGATCGAGACCATCCTGGCTAACACGGTGAAACCCCATCTCTACCAAAAAATACAAAAACTAACCGGGCGTGGTGGCAGGCGCCTGTAGTAGAGTGAGACTCCGTCTCAAAAAAAAAAAAAAAAAAAAAAAAGACATGTAAGTTTGGAATTTAGAGGAAAGGTCTAGGTTGATATAAATGTGATGACTATCAACATACAGTTTTATTTAGAGCCATGAAACCAAGTAATATTACTAATGGAGTGAGTGCAGAGAAGAAAACAAAGGAGATCCATAGATTCAGCCCTAGAGAACTCCAATAGTAGGAGGCTGAGTAGATGAAAGAAAACCATCAAAAGAGACTGAAAAGGAGTGACCAGTGAGAAGGACGAAAATCAGAAGAGTGTAATGCCTGGAAGCCAAACGAAGAAAGTGTTTAAAGGAGGAGGGCATGATCAACTGTAAAAAATACTGATGAGATAAAACAAGAGGTCTGAGAACTGACTACAGTAGTCCCCACTTACCCACAGAGGGATATGTTCAACTGGATGCCTGAAAGTACAAATGGTACCAAACCCTATATATGTTCTTTCAATCTAATAACCAAAACAGCTACCAGCAGGTAGCACATGGAACGTAAATATACTGGAAAAAGTGAAGATTTTTGGGTATTTTTCTCCTGCTGCAAACCATTGTGCAGGTACAAGTGTGGAGTACGTAGAAAACTACTAGATTAAACCCAGAAACTACTCACTGGGTTTTACCCATTAAATATGATGAACAGAGAAAGGGACAAGAAAATTGAAGATGATGAATGCAAAGCAGTCATTTATAATGACTAACCTAAAGATTTAAGATAAGTAAAGATGAAATCAAGGACCTAGAGAGGGAGCAGGTAAGAGACTGAAGAGAGAGAATTAATTAATTGCAAGTCCAGATAGAGTCAAAGGACTGTTTAAGTCAGAATATTAAGGGAGGAAGTCAGAAAAATTATACTGGTGATCAGTGCAGAGCGTTCAAAGACAACGTCACTACAGGAGAGAAGGTCAAGTAACAGTGAAGTCAGGATATTAGAGGATCATCCAAATAAATATTTAAATCACCAAGAATCATGACGAAAATTACATCAAGGGTCATTATGGAGACTATGATAGTATGGCAGAAATTTTAATTGGGGGTTCAAAAGTTAGAGGGGAGAGACATACAGGAAGATGTGAGAAAGTAACAATGAAAAATAAGGAGGACACCTGTGCCATATCCAGATCAAAGGACATGAGGGTATGGAAAGAAAATACCTACCACTTCAGAGGAAGCAGCGTCCTCAGGGTAGAATTGGGCTTTAGGTTAGAACAACGAGAAAGAAACAGGCAGAGAGGTATTAAAGAAGAGTGAATTTTTAAACATTAACTCTTTTCTGTCCATGAGGACAGAGTTAAACATTAATTCTTCTTTCATAACTCTCTGAATGTTTCTCATTCATAATCTCTAGTCATTGTCCTCTCTCCTCCCATTCACAGCCTAACAGTCCTATCAATACTAGTTCTTAAATTTCTTTGGGATCATCTCATTTCTCCAATACCACTGCCCTAACCTACTCCAAGCCACCATCTTACCACAACTAGACAACTAGCAGAAAAACCTACGGTACCCTGAATCTTTCCCTATTCATAAAAAACAATGGGGGCGGGGGGGAAGGTCGTCAGAGAGATATTTTTAAACCAAAGATATGACTATGTCGTATTCTTGCTTAAAATCTCCCAAAGGTCTCCCCAGTGGTCTTAAGTTAAAAGCCCCAAATCCTTAACATGGCTTACAAGGTCTTCTTCCACAAACGGGCCACTGGCGACCTCTCTATCCTCATCTTAAACCTCTCTTCCTCTCCCACTTCCCTGTTCAGTCATTTATTCAACAAATATTTAATGAGTGCCTATGGTGCACCATATACTGTGCTAAGCACTGACGACGCAATGATGAACACAGCAGACATGGCTCATGCCATACTGATCTTTCAAGTTTCTCAAATGCATCAGACTTTCAAAAACCTAAGAATTTTCAAATACTGCTTCCCCTGTTCAGAATCAAATCTGCCACTTACTTTGCCTGGCTAGCTTCCTTTTAATCTTCAAATCTTAGATTTAATGTAATTTCTTCAGGAAGAAAAGTCTTCCCTGTCCCTTAGACTTGGTCAAACACTTAGCTATAGTACCCTGACTTTCCCTTTTATAATTATTAATAAACAAAATTATTTTTATATTTTTTTCCTACTAGACATTATAATCTCCATGAGGACAGAGATCATAGCCATCATGTGTTGTTGACTTGTGATAATGACTTTGCAATTACCTTTTCTTCCACAGAAAAACAAACATGTAGTTTAAGGATATTACCTTTCTTAAGGGGTTTGTTGTACCATCTATCTTTTTTGATGTCTGGAATGGTAATTCTTGCTGATGGATTCTCAACTAGGATTTTATGCAGCAGAGCTAAAAACAAACATTAAGACAACATTCATGAAAGCGTCATGCAGATTCGAGAAGCCTATGGCTTGCGGTAAGAAACACATTTTCTGTTGGCCTACTTATGTCTAAATATTATTTCTGGGGAAGAGAAAGAATTAAAGCTACTAAATTATTGCTTTAATTTCATGCAGTTTTTCTCTGCTGCTGTCTATATCTTGGAATAGTCTTCCCTTGATCTGATTCTCAATTGTTTGCAACTGAGAACAAGAGCCAGGTGGAAATGTTTCTCCTCATGTGATAAGATTAACAAAAAGATACAGAAACCCCCTTATCCATTTTCAATACTGAATTTCATTACTTCAATGTCATGTTCTCACGTGATCTCCTTATTCAGTTTTATAATGAACATTTACTTACCAATAACTTTTAAAGAGACAGTAATCTAACCATCCTAAGGTATCTTGATTTTCTTGAGAAAAAATTCATATATCTCCCTACATCAAAATTATTTCCTAATGGACCAAAGATTTAAATGTAAAAATGAAGCCATAAAACCATTAAATGAAAAAGTAGGGAACTTTTAAATAGTAGAGGTAGAAGACCTTTCCCAAGACATCATAGTCAGGGACCACAAAGGACAAGATAATAGATTTGAATGTCAATATAGCAAAACAAAATGAAAATAAATGATAAGTATTTGTGAAAAGTATTTGTAACAAGTGCAAAGGTCAATATGTTACAAAAAAAAAAAAAACAACAACAAAACTTCAAACTGGTAAGAAAAATATGCTTGACAAAAATGAGCAAAATAGACAAAAAACTAACATATAAATAAAGTGTATACAACTTCATTAGTATTAAATTTAAAATAAAAATAAAAGACTATCATTTAAAGGCCTGTTAGTTTTTTTTTTTTTTTTTAATGTAAATTGATGAGACTGTGATGAAATGGTTCGAACTTTCAGGAAGCAATTTGACAAAATAAGCCATAATAATAAAAACTACATTTTTGATGCTGCAATTTTGCTTCTGGGGATTTCAATGAACAATTTAAGGGTATGTGTCATGATTAAGTTACACAGATACTTATATCTCTTTTGTATCTGTGAAAATTTAGAAAAATCTCCAACAAAGTGATTAAAAGAGTATCATAAGGCATATCCACATGGCAGAATATCATCACAGCCTTTAAAACAACGATGTAGACCTACAATTATAGTCATGGAAGAATGTTCACTGCACATGAAAACCAAAAGCAGTTACAAAATATTAGTGTGATCTCATTTTGTATAAAAACACATATAAATAATATACATATATTCATTTTACATACTCATGGGCCACATGAATGATGTTTCAGTCAAGAATGGACCACATGTATAACAGACAGTCCCATTAGATTATAACACTGTATTTTTACTATACTTTTCCTATATTTAGATACACAAATACCATTATGTTACAATTTCTTACAGTACTCAATAGAGTAACATGCTATAGAGGTTTGCAGTCTGGGACCAATAGGCTATACCATATAGCTAGATTTATAGTAAGCTGTACTATCTAGATTTATGGAAGTATACTCTATGATGTTCACACAATGATGAACTCACCTAACCAAACAACTGTTAGAGTGCATCCCTACAATTAAGCAACAAATGAATGTATTTGTAACAAAGTATAGCACATGTGAAAACTTTTTTTTTTTTTTAAGTAAAAAGCCATCTAAGAGCACAGATTCAAGTTGCTCTGAATATACACTCCCCAAAATATTTTTAAAAATCTATGGCAGAGTTCTGGGACGAAAGAGTTATTTTTTCCTTAATTTTTACTTATAGTTACCAATTTATCTACAAGATTCATGAATTATTTCTAAGTTTAAAACAAAAAAATAAGAAAATATTCAAATAGCACAAGACTTCAAGAAATCAGTACTCTTTCACTCAAGATAATCCGTTACCTAGAGGAGCAGAATCGATTTTTTTCCAAGGGTTGAGGTATGTTTTTTTTTCTTTCCAGTCAGAATATTCCTGACAGCTGTCACTGGGTTGGTCCCATGGCAATTCTAAAAACAAAGCAAGTCCCAGTTTTTTTTAATGGTCAGATTTCAAGGAAAAATGGTAATATAAATCCATGAAAAGTTTCCTTTGAATTAATTCAATATGGTTTTCAAACTAAGAATCCCAACCTGGCCACTGCACTCCAGCCTGGGTGACAGAGCAAGACTCTGTCTCAAAAAAAAAAAAAAAAAAAAAAA